ACTTAAAATTTTTGAATTTCTATATTTTAATTTTAATAATTTTTTATTTCTACTATTTATTAATTTTTTTCTTTTTTAATATTTTATAATATTATTAAAATCTTATAATTTTAATCTCTATAATTTTATCTTATTTTTTATTTTATAAGTATAATTTGTATTATTCACTTTATAATTAACCGAAAGGGCAGTTTTCTATAATTATTCAAGTTACAATATTCAAATTCTAACTTCTAAGGTACGCGTTTGGAATTTTTCTTTTTTAACAAATTCAAAACAACAGAAGTCTATTAATGTTGATGCCATTCCTCCGGTTTTACAATACAAATAAACTCACGATATAAGACACTACAAAAAATGTGTGATTTGTGGCGGTTATTTTGGCAGTTTCTGGCGGTACCGCCACAAATCGCATTACCGGCGTCATCAATAACCGCCGGATCTACGGTCGCCAAAAACCGTTTGCGGCGTACATTTTGTAAACGCTGGTTTTGGGCGCCAGAAAATTCAATCTCTTTTGTGGCAGTTTAAAACCGCCACAAAATGTATTTTTGTTTAACTTGTTTGAAATTTTGTGGCGGTTTAAACCCGCTACAAAATGTATGTAAACTGTTTCTTTTTTTTAACATTTCTGGCGGTTTTAAACCGCCACAAAATCGCATTTTTTTTCTTTATTCAACATATGAATAAGTGGTCAGTTAAGATCCCAAAAGTACTGAACAATTTACAGCTAATAGTGAGCTCTTGGTCCTAGATTGCATAAGATTGTTCAAAAGATATTGATGAATGACAATATATATAAGGTACTGAGCAGCAACAAAGGTGCCTGGAGGATAATTTAGCATTTCAACCTTGTAACGTTTTATATGTAAATAGCAACACAAAAGATTTAGACAACCTGGTTGTTGTAACATACAATAGCATAATTCAAATGGTCCAAAAGATATGGGAAGATACAAAACATAAACGTTTGCAAAAGTACAACCAAGGAAAGTTTGCAGGTTTTATTAACTATAGAACATAATAAAGTTCAACAAAAGGAAAATTTCCTAAGGAATGATGTCTTGGTTTACAGGGAGGAAAAATATAAGTCTTACCTGATTTAAACAAATTTTAACTAAATAATTGGATTATAAAGAATTTTGCCAATAAAAAAATAGTGCAGGCAATTATCCATGCTGCAAACTTGAAATCCCTATTTAGCACTTGATAGCATAGCATAAACATTTCTTCTAAAATATGAGACACGTAAAACATAAAATCCAATAAAAAAAAATCCAAGAAATGGATGCAAGGAATCATTAAAACAATATTTAAATGACTCAAAGAAATTGGAAAACAATAGTGCTTTTGAAATTAATTGATAAAGAATGAAGAATGATCAGTGAAAAAGATTATTTTCAGAGATCCAGTTAAAACACTTAATTGTAAACAATACCTGCATAGAAGTTGGCTTGAGTTGAGCTTTCAGTTCCTATACTGCAGACTGGAAATGTTTAGACAACCACATAAAAAAAGATAAATTAAGAGGTTCTAAGATAAATTAATTCAATTTGCTAGTTTTGCATTTGTATATCTAAGATTCTAAGGTCTCTTTACCGCTTACCTTGGATTAAGAGGTTTTGCATCCTTCTTCTCAGGTTTCACTACTGCTATCTTCAATGCTCTCATGTTGTTCTTTGACTCAACCCCTGTAGGAAGGATTTTAACCCGAGTAAGATTTCAATCCCAATGGGAAAAAAAATTAAAGAGTTTCCTTTTGTTTGTTCCATAATATTTTAATCATGTTTAAAATTTTGATCAATTTTTTCTATCTTGCAGGCTTCATCAGATTTAAGTATTTTGGACTTTGATATACCTTTTTCCATCACTTTTGTAGCGGCTGTTCCAATTGAAATTGTGGCGATAATTTATATAATGGTTTCCATAACATGGCACGTTTTCATTGTTGTTGTTCCTACAATGGTTGCATCAAAATATGTTCAGGTTTATCAACCTTCTAATTTTTCTCAGTTTTCTATTTTTGTCCCTGCTTAGTTCCGAAAGTTAACAATTTCTTAATCTCCTTTACTCCCTAAAAGGGATATTATCAAGCCTCTGCAAGGGAATTAATTAGGATCAATGGAACCACAAAAACTCCTGTCATGAATTTTGCATCTGAGACATCACTTGGTGTAGTTACTGTAAGAGCATATAACATGGCAGACAGATTCTTTAAAAATTACTTAAATCTTGTGGACACAGACGCAACACTGTTCTTTCATTCTAATGTGGCCATGGAATGGTTAGTTTTAAGGATTAAAGCACTTCAAAATTTGACAGTCATCATTGCAGCTTTGTTGCTTATTCTAGCTCCTCAGGGATATGTATCTCCAGGTATAATTATATGAAATGTTAATTACCTCGATAAGATTTTGTGCATGCTATTAACAAGATAATATTTTATTAGCTACTCTTAATCAAAGTCCATCTCAATAAATGCAAAATTCAGCCTCTAAACCACCAAAACGAAAAAAGGAAGCCACAGTATCATAAAGGTTTTACTTAATTAAGATATTCATTAGAGAAATCAGAGGCTGTCAAACATAATAAGAGTACACTACACTATGTTGCTAAAAAAAATAATGGTACAAAAAATCAGTGGAAGGACCAATGGATTAAAGTATAATATTCACATTATTTACATCTTACAATTTCTACATGATTTCAAGTTATACTTATGTGAGTTTTATACTATTTCGACTTTCAAGGTGTAAGTGACACTCACACATAGGGGCTATAACATAAATTTGCTAAGCACTTTTGAAGGAATCATGAAAAAAATAACAACATAAAGGTCCCTGTATTTCATAATGGCTCTGCAACCAAATATAAGCAGGCGTGCAAATTTTCCATTTTTTTAATAATGGGTGTTAGCTTATTATATATCCAGTAAAACATATCATCATAAATTCCGATTGTTGGAGAGAGAATTTTTAACTGCAAAGCTGTTTTGAACAATGTTAATCAAATTCAAAACCAACAAAGTACCCGCAAAATTTCATTTTCTCGATCACGAGGCCTTATGCTTTGGTAAAATCCACACCATGACTCCAAACCCTCTCCAAGCTGTTGAGGTGTTCTAATATCAGGTGAAAAGAAGGATCTCCCGATTGGACAAAACCTTTAGAAAATGCAGATTTTGTGAGAAAATTTAAAAACACATACTTTGAGCTCCAATTTTCCCTCAATTATTATCTGGTAAAATTACCTCTTAGATGATAGCTCTCTCAATACAATGTCAAGAATCTGGAGTGCTTCCTGTGGAGCATCAGCACGTTTACCAGCTAAAAACTGACCCAAGTGGTGCAAGTTTGCCCTGGCAACAAACTTGATCACCACTCTATATTCTCTTTCCCTTCTGAAAATGGTGCAACTGTCAGTTGGAAAATGAACTTAATTCTAATCAAATTGATTCACAAACATAAAAACAAACCATATTGAGTGTTCTTCGAACTTTTGCTTCCACCTTTCTTCATACACCTCTTGAAATATGTCCTTAAATCTATAATAATGACAAACAACAAATTATCTCCAATAGCAACAAAACAAATAAAAAAAGGTTGTCTGAATTACAGAGAAGTTTATCATACAAAGGTGACACTTCAAGACTATGAAAAAAAAAGAAGTAAAAACAACTCTAGCTGATGATGCCAAGGCATCATCTATGTTACTCACCCATGGTCGAGTAAAACAACATCTGTTGAGTGAAAATGCCATTGAATTGTCCAAGATATAAACTTATCCAAAAGTACTTTTAAGAGAGAGAAAAAATGAAGGAAAAATGAATAAACTTCTCCATTAGCTAACATTAGCTTATTCAGAAACAAATTTGTAGAACTTCTCTCCTATTATCTTCTTCAAATCTTAATTTTAACTTTTACATAAGTTGGTTTTAATTTTTTCCACTTTCAAGTGTTTCTGAAGTTTACTTAATCAAATCCTAGATAAAAAATTATAAAAGGAGTTCCACACCTCCACCTCCACTTTGTATATTATAGATAGATAACGTAAACACCTAAAAATCTAAACAAAGAAACAATAATCAGTTGTTATATACGAAAGGAGGAAATTATCTACATGTAACATCCTCCTAATGCAACAAAAGCTAGTCATAAAATGATGAAAATACCTTCTGTCATATCTAGACTGATTCTTCTCTCTTTTCGACATTCCATTAGGGAGAAACATTAGTTTGGTTTTCTGGCTCCCAGCAACATTCCTTAAGTTTTTAAGGGGATAAGGCAACTTAAAATATGCATAAATGCCCAATTTGGTTCTCATTCTATGAGCAGATTCAGCGACCCTCTTCACCTCCTCCAGCAAATTATAATCTACACACAGAACATCACAAAATAAATAAACATAGCGAAATTAGAAAAACAGAATTGAAATGAAAACCATTAAATAGTAACGAGTTTTTAAATTATAGGCTAAAATATATATTATTTTTTCTATTTTCTTATACATAGCAAGTGCTACACTTGGGCCTTTGAAATTGTAAACATCAAGCTCCGTTGGAGCATCACCATCTTCTGGGACTAAATTAGACATAAACACAAGTTTGTAAACTACATGCTTGATATTCTAATGAATAAATTAAAAAGTTTCAATTCCATTGAAAGCGAGGCTTTGGAAATTAACATACCAAATACCAACTTAAGCTTCCCTGGTTTGCTGATTATTGCGTCAGTGACCCTATACTAGTCACCAAAAGCATGCCTACCAATACAAATGGGTTTTTTCCATCCTGTAAACTAAAAAATAAGTAAATGGTGCTTAGCTGTATTTCAACTCCATTAATGATCAAACTAGAGTTGAGGCATTACCAGAAACAATTCTCGGTATGTTGCGGCATATTATGGGTTCACATAAAACAGTACCTAGAAGGAAACAAAAAAGAAAAATGTCACGGAAAATTTTGAAAAAGTTTTGGAATAGAAGAAAAATTTTAAACAAATAAAGAACAAATTCCAGAAGTATCTGCATGCTTCAAACTAAATACTCATCAAAATATGATTCCAAACCGTAAGCCCCAAACCATTTGGATCCCAAATTCCAATAAAATCATCAATAACCCTAACAGAATCAATGTTTCCAACACAAAATACCTGTAGATTCATCATTTGAATGCCAAATTATCGCAATCAACGAGCGAATCGAAGTAATAATCACAAACGTTGCCTCCGAATATGCCCAAGCTCGAACGCACAACTTTTTCAAACCGAAACCATCGAGTCTACCTCTCTCCGTCAACGAATCTATGTAACGTCTACGTGAATTGAATGCTCACGCTCACGGCAGTAGCATGGAGAATTTTGAGCGAAGAAAATGCTTTAACGCAGGAGAAGTTTGAACCTGCCCCTCATCGCTCGAACATTTTTACTTTTATTCTTTTAACAATAATAAAAAATATTTTAATTGAATTGGCCACGTGGTTGCATAAAAGCTGGCAATAACATAGATAAGTATTTTGAATATTGTGGCGGTTTTAAACCGCCAAAAATTTAAATTTTTTGTGGCGGTTATAATAACCGCTAGAATTACAACATTTTTTAGCGGTTTACTAAAATCGCCAGAAAATAACCGCTATTAACTACATGATTTTTTGTAGTGAGATAATTGATTTTTTTTTTAAAAGGAGGATTTTATTCGATATGAAGGTTTATTTTGTCTCATTTTTTTTTATCATTTTAAAATTGAATTCAAACCACTTGTTTTTACTTTGCTTGGACTATGTTCCATCTCGTTTGGATTAAATTTTGGATCTTATTTTAAAAGCTGAACTAATTAAACTTCATTTCTTAAGATATTATTATTATTATTATTATTCACCCCCTAAAACTAAGTAGTTATCTCTTGAATTAAAAAAAGAAAAAGAAAAGTTTAACAGAACCACTTATATTTTCATTCAACAGTAACCATAGTTCAGCAATAGACTGAAGTTTTTAACAGACGTCAACCTCAGAGACTCTAATTAGAGTTCATAAGCTTGGGCATCCACTCAGCAAGCAATATTCGGACAAGGGTTATTTGTTTTACTCCCATTTGTTTTCGATACACCTTGGGACACTCATTGATAATAACATAACTACAAATTTTTAGTCAAGTAAATATTTTATATTTTTAAATATTAATTAAAAAATAAAAAAATAAAATTTAAAGAGTGATGAAGTGTTTTGTCACGTAGTGGATGTCTTTGAAACATTTTCCGTTGTACAGTCATGGTGAAGGGATGGTACAGTGGAAAAAGGAGCTACTACGTCTCCTCATTTACGTCGGAAACTAGCACACCCGACGTTGTAAAAACGTGGTGGCAGTTCCGTAAATAAAGAGGAGGAAATTTACGTCGGACCCATCTATGTCCGACGTAAATTTCCCCCCAAAAACCCCAACATTCCTTTTCCCTTCCCGCACCTCCCATATTGTTTACGAAAAATATACTGTTACTTCTTCTTCTTCTCTTATATTCTCTAAGTCTCCAACTGCATTTGATTCCACATTGCACGTCTCTAAGTCCCTAAGTCTGCACATTACACGTTTGAGGTAATTTTGTTCTCTACACAATTTGTTTTTTTATTTTCTGTTATTTGTTCATCTGGAACGGGCCCGTACTACTTGTAGAACGGGCCGTTCTCCTTGCAGAACGGGCCGTTCTGCTTAATTTTTTGTTTTGTAAATTCTTCATCTGGAACGGACCGTTCTGATTTCAGTACGGGCCTTTCCAGATACATTAAAGATGAACTTTTTTAGGCTTTGACTTTTAGTTTACCATCGTATTAGTAGAAATATTTATGGATTTTATCCGTAATTAGTATCGATTTTTTAGAGTTGTAGTTTAGGTTAGAAAAATTATGAACAAACGAGTGAATAATTCATTTGTGTTAATATATAGATAATGAATCAAAGTTGGATGAATGCAAGTCGCATTAGTCAAGAGTACAGAAATGGAGTTAAAGAGTTCTTGGAATTTGCAAGAGTATCCATGTGTTTGTTGTTTGAATCAGATACGTCAAGAAGTTGGAGAAATACGTGATCACCTGTTTATATATGGTATTGTGAAGAGTTATACAGTATGGACATGGCACGGAGAAATATTAGACATTCCAACAGTGTCAACAACTGAAAATTTTTGAAGGGATGGACGATAACTTAGAAGAAATGATACGTTATGTTGGTGAATAAAATTTTGAAAGAGCACATGTGTATGATACCTTAAAGTCTGATTTTGAGCAACCATTATACCCAGGATGCAGTATGTTTACAAGATTATCAGCAACTTTAAGATTGTTTAGTTTAAAAGCAAGAAATGGCTGGACTGATAAAAGTTTCACAGAATTGTTGGAGTTATTGAAGGAGATGCTTCCAGAAGATAACACGTTACCTAATCGCAACTATGAGGCAAAAAAGATACTATGTCCAATGGGTTTGGAGTATAAGAAGATACACGCGTGCCCTAATGATTGCATATTGTATACAAATGATTTTGCTACACTGAAAGTGTGTCCCACATGTGGATTGTCGCGGTTCAAAAAGAAAACTGATGGAAGTAATGGTGAGGAAGAAATAGAGGGTCCCCCTGCTAAGGTCTTATGGTATTTGCCAATAATACCTAGGTTTAAAAGATTGTTTGCCATTAAAGAAGATGCAAAAAACCTCACATGGCATGAAAATGGTAGAAAATGTGACAACTTTCTTCGACATCCAGCTGATTCTCCGCAATGGAAGAGGATTGATGAAACATTTCCAGAATTTGGTGCAGAGTCAAGAAACTTGAGAATTGGTTTAGCTACAGATGGCATGAATCCTTATGGGAACTTAAGTAGTAAACACAGTTCATGGCCAGTTTTGTTGGTCATTTATAATTTGCCTCCTTGGCTATGCATGAAGAGAAAATATATTATGTTGTCTATGATGATATCAGGTCCCCGACAACCAGGAAATGACATAGATGTGTATCTTAGTCCATTGATTGATGACTTGAAAATGTTATGGGACACAGGAGTGGAGGTGTTTGATGCATATCGTGAAGAAAAATTTACCATGCGTGCAATGTTATTTTGCACAATAAATGATTTTCCAGCATATGGTAACCTGAGTGGGTATAGTGTGAAGGGTCATTATGCATGTCCTATATGTGAAGAAAACACAAGTTATACCCAATTGAAACATGGGCAAAAGACTGCGTACACTAGGCATCGTAAGTTTCTTGTTCGTAGTCATCCATACCGTAGATTGAAGAAAGCATTCAATGGAAGTCAAGAGGATGAAATTGCCTCGACACCGCGCAATGGTGAAGAAGTATATCAACGGGTGAAGAACATTAACATTGTGTTCGGAAAGACGCAAAAGAAGTCAACTGAGAGAAATATCTGGAAGAAACGATCAATATTCTTTAATCTTCCTTACTGGTGCAAGTTAGATGTTAGACACTGCATAGATGTGATGCATGTGGAGAAAAATGTTTGTGATAGTGTAATTGGGACATTGCTAAACATCAAAGGAAAGACTAAAGATGGAGTGAAAGCACGACAAGATTTGGTGGACATGGGTATACGTTCTGAGTTACATCCTCAGTCTATTGGAAGACGCACTTACTTGCCTCCAGCTTGTCATACTCTATCAAAGAAAGAAAAAAAAAGCTTTTGTGAGTGCTTAAGCAGTGTGAAAGTTCCACAAGGGTACTCCTCAAATGTTAAGAGTTTGGTGTCTATGCAAGATTTGAAGTTGATTGGTTTAAAGTCTCACGATTGTCATGTGTTAATGCAACAACTTTTGCCTGTGGCTATTCGTAACATTTTACCATCTTCTGTTAGAGTTGCTATTACTCGATTGTGTTTATTCTTCAATGCCATTTGCAACAAAGTAATTGACCCTGTAAAGTTAGATGAGTTAGAAAATGAAGCAATCACAATCTTGTGTCAATTGGAAATGTATTTTCCACCTTCATTTTTTGATATCATGGTGCATTTGATTGTTCATTTGGTTAGGGAGATTCGATTGTGTGGCCCGGTTTATCTTAGATGGATGTACCCTGTTGAGAGATACATGAAGATCTTAAAAGGATATGTCAAGAATCAATACCGCCCAGAAGCCTCTATTGTGGAGAGGTACATTGCAGAAGAAGCCATTGAGTTTTGTTCAGGCTACATGTTGAAATCAGAACTAATAGAAATTCCCAAGACTCGACATGATGGGAAACAATTTGGTAAGGGTACTCGAAGTTTAAAGATTAAAACTGTGAGTCGAACAAAAGTTAACCAAGCACATTTGTACATATTGAACAATACTGATGAAGTAATTCCTTACATATCTGAACACATAGATGATTGAATAGGTTCTTAGGTCAAATTGCTAGAAATGTTAATGTATTTCCTATTTGCTATAAAGTTGGAGAAAGATTCCAAAAGATTATAAAGAAGATGTTCTTAAAAACACCATTGAATTAAGTGTTGTATACATTTCATTTATTTGTAATTTCAATTATAATCAATTAATTGTTGACTTTAATTATTTAATAATTTGAAGGCTAAGTTTGAAGTTCACTCTCAAGCTCATGTACAATATGTCTTCAAATCACTTAACACAAAATGGAGTGACTATAGGCAAAAATTATGGAATCAAAGGAATGATGGAACACTTAAAAACACATGTTATTTAACGGGGGTTATAAACATACATTACTTAATGGAGGTTACGTAACCCTAGTTAATTACTAAGGGTTAAAAATCGCAATTACATAGCTGAGGTTAGAAACCCTTGTTAATTATTGGGGTTTAGAAACCATAACTACATGGTCAGGGTTAGAAACCTTTGTTAATTACTGGGGGTTAAAAATCTCAACTACTTAGTTGGGGTTTAAAACTGCCAAAAAATTTGTAATTTCCAGGGGTTGCTAAAAACCCCGCTAATACGTTCCCTACGGATGATTTACCGGAGGTTTGTACAACTCCTGGAAATGCATTTAACGGGGGTTATAACTCTAGTTAAATTCAAAATTAACTCCGGTTAAATCCTTTTTTTTTTGTAGTTGATCCTTTTAACTCTCTAGTTAAACATATTAATCATGATTATCTTGAAGTTCTCTTTCCTTATTAATAAAATATTATACTACCCTTTTAATAAAATATTATGAATTATACTAAAAAATATATTAATTAAAATAAATATTAAACAGCCCTTATTACTAAAAATAAAAATACTAAAATTATTAATAAAAACTTATATAATATTTTGTGAAAAATGGGGTGTTATAGAAAACTGAAGATTTCTTTTTCGTCTTCCCTTGTTGGTTCCTTCTTCTACTCCACCCTACAGTTGAATCTAGGGTGACCAAGTTGAAGATTCAAGCTTCCAAGCAAGAATCAATCTCGTTAGTGGTGGTATAGAGTTCTTAGAGCTTAGTCCTTCTTCTTTTTCTTCTCTAATTTTGGGAATTTTAGAGGTAAGAAAAGCTAGAACTTTGATTCTTATTGGATTGTTTGAGTTGCTTGTTGATTGATTTTCATCCAAATGTTGTTATGCTGGTTGAATTCGAATTGAATGATGATGGAGGTTTTAAGTTTTGTTGTTATGAAGTATGTTGAGGTGATCTTGGTGACTTATCCAAATGATGGTTGCATGTGTTGTTTCTTGCTGGAAATGAACTGTTAGTGATGCATATATGAAATTGGATGTATTGCATATTGGAGATTGAGTTTCAGACAAATTGGAGAAAAATCATGAATCTCTTATGTGTAAATTTCATCATCACGTTGGGCACGCCTTCATGACATTGGGCATGGCTCAAATCAGGGGTTCTCTATCTCACTTGCGTCAAGTTCAAGATTGGTGGTATCAAGTGTGAGAAGAGAGAAAAGCCTCTAACTTCCTATTTGCTATAAAGTTGGAGAAAGATTCCAAAAGATTATAAAGAAGATGTTCTTAAAAACACCATTGAATTAAGTGTTGTATACATTTCATTTATTTGTAATTTCAATTATAATCAATTAATTGTTGACTTGTTTTTAAAAAAAAACCCCAGAAATTACGTCGGACAAGACCATGTCCGACATAAATTTACGTCGAGCCTTGCATTGGCCGACGTAAATTTACGTCGGACATGGTCTTGTCCGACGTAAATTCTGGCGTGTTTTTAGGCCCCTTTTTACGTCGGGCTAGCGAAATCTCCGACGTAAATTTACGTCATCTTTTACAGGCGACGTAAATTTACGTCTCCCGTATTAACGTAGGCTGCGTTTCCGACGTAAAAAGCTTCAAATACCCGACATAAAAAGGGTATTTTGTACTACAAAGGACACAATATTATGATGTTAGAAATAATAGAAAATAAAGCAAGATGAAGGGGTTGAGTTACTTTGCATTAAAGGGTATTTTCCTGTTTAAAATTACATACTCTCTCTAATTTAACTACAAAGCATTTATTTGATATTTTTAATAATTATGTTATTAATATTATATTATTTTTGATAATTATGTTATTGGTGATGGTAGTAATTATGTCAATGATGATAACGCAACAATAATAACAGTAGTGATGATTGCAATATTGATAGTGGTGACAATATCGATAGTGATAGTGACAATAATATTGATGATGACAACAATAATTGTAACAATTATGACAACGACAATGATAAGAGACAATTATAATAGTAACGATATATACATGATGTAATTTTATTTACAATCTTTTAATTTAAGTTTTTTTTTAATTTAAGGATTTTGGTATTATTAATTTATTATTTTTACTGAGGCCACATAGGAGGGTTTAAACGACACCGGCATAACTTTTACTAAGTGTTACACCGCTCAATAACTTTATATTAAATGTGAATTTTGAAAATCCAACCGTTAGATTGAAAATTCATATTTCTTAGATCATATATATCAAATTTTATATTAATCTAAGATGATTTGATACTTCATTTCATAAAAAAAATTGACGTAATGTATACATTTCAAAATATACTAAAATATGAACACTTTGATTACCTTCAAGTTGTGGTTCAATTTTAACAAAATTTGACATATATGATCTAAGAGATATGAACTTTCAATCTAATGGTTGGATTTTCAAAATTCACATTTAATATAAAGTTATTGAGCAGTGTAACACTTAGTAAAAGTTACACTAGTATCGTTTGAACCCTCCTCATATATATATATATATATTATGTAAGAGTAATTTTTGATAGATTTATTTTATTAAATAATTCATGTTCTACGTCAAATTTTAATAATCTAACTATATTGAATTAGAAGTTCTTAATGTATTGATCAAGTATACAAATTTTTAAAAAGATTGAAAATCATACGATACTTTGTTATATAAATTCAAATCAATATATAAAATATTTTTATGATTATCGATCAATTTGAATTAATAAAATAAAATATCAAATAATTTTCAAATTTTTAAAAAATTTATAGACTTGATATATATATATATATATATATATATAACATTCAATTAGAGCATGTCTTATTATGAGATATATGTGTGGAGTAAATCATAATTTTTAGATTAAAGATAAAAGATAATTAATTATCAAGATTCAAACTTAATTATAAACATTCCTTTACAAAATTATTATTATTATCTCTTTTACAACTATCAACATGTACCATTGTCTACTAGTGAGGCTGCCATCACTGTTATTATTGTCATTATTGTCACACCACCACTATCATTGTCGTTGACAACAGTGGTGACAATGATAGTAACAAATAACAATGACAGTGAAAATAGTGATGACAACAATAACAATAGTGGCATCGTCGTTATCGCCACCATTATTGTCATCATTGATGTTGTCATCATCACTGTCATCAACAACAATGGTAGTAATGACAACAACGACAATGACAATGGTAATCATGATTGTGGTGGTGGGTGGTAGTGATATAATTGCATAATTGATGAGGATGACACGCACAAAAACACACATTTATAACAGAGAGAGTGAAAATTGAGTAGAGAAAAATTGTATTCTCACACTTGTACATTAGGCATGACTAATATCTCTCTTATTAATGAGTAATAATACAAACATGTATTTATAAAATACATTGAAAAATGATACAAGCATATGATATTTATGAACTAAGGTACACATATAATACTTATAGACTATATTATCAACTGATACCATCAAAGGATGTCACTAGACAATATATGTATTGACTAAACCTTCAAACTATATGTATAAACTAAACACATAAATTATACATATAGACGATATGTGCAGACTATATATTTGAATTACATTACTCAACCATAACAAGGTATAATAATGGAGAAGTAATTAGAGTTTCGCATGCGAGATGAGGTAGCTAGCACAGAAGCAGATCATTGTGATGGTTTACATGATTCATTCCATTTGGTGACAAGCCAAATAATTAGGCGCAGGGAAAGGAAAAGTGCGACGAGTCCAAGCAGCCCAAGCCAAATCAAAATAATTGCACCAAACATGCCTAAAGCAGTTTGATCCCAAACAGGATTTGGAGTAACCATAAACGCACCATACAAGTAGGCTAAAGTGAGGCTGGAGAGAGTGATGCACATGCCTATTAACAACAGCCACGTGAAGAATCAGTGATTCATAGGAAACCCACTCACATGCAAAAGACAAACAGCTTGAGATGAAGCGAAACATAGTGTTTCAATTAGATGTGAAACTTACATTTCTCAATAGTTTATTGGAGGAAGAGGTGTATGTGTTGCAGCCACCAAGATTTGAGGTGAAAGGAAGAGAACATGCAATATACAAGTTAAGAAAAGCCTTGTATGGATTGAAACAAGCCCCTCAAGCTTGGAAGAAGAGAATGGATGCTTTCTTACACCAATAGGGGTTCTCAAAATGTTAAGTGGAGTTTGGGATATATGTGAAGATGAAGAATGATGTTGATTTGATTATGGTATGTTTGTATATGAAGACCTTCTTGTTACAGGCAATAATAGCTTTGAAATTGAGGAATTCAAGGGGGGAATGAAGTCAAAATTTGAAATGACTGACTTAGGAATTCTTAACTACTTCCTTGGTTTGGAGGTTGTTTATACGTACAAGTAAGGGTGTTTTTTGTATCAGAAAAAAATATATCTAGGAGGTGCTAAAGAGGTTCCATATGAAAAATTGCAATGAAGTAGTGACCCTAGTTGACACAAATGTGAAGTTGGTAAAGGAGAAATAGAAGTTTGTTGATGGCACATTGTACAAGCAGATTGTGGGATCACTGGGATTTTTGTGTAATAGTAGGCCTAACATCTGTTTTGAAGTTGGGTTGGTTAGTAGGTTCATGAGTGATCCAAGAGTCTCACACATGGTTGCTAC